CATTTCATATAAATGAAATCATATACTACCTGGTCTTCTGTGACTAGTTCTTTGACAATATGTTTTCAAAATTCATCCATGTTGTAGCACATACTTCATATCTTTTTTAAAAAGTGTTTAAAAGTTTATTTAAATAATGTTTGATTTGAAGGGAAAACTAGGATTCATTTCTCTTGAAGTAATTTATCCCTACTGAAAAACAGGTTGACCTACATGTAAAGACCTACATGTAAAGACCTAGTCATCAGAAGACACAAAAGTTATAAAACTGTCCTTTGTTTTATAATGATAAGTGAAAAACACTAAAATTTTCCAATCAAACAAGGTATGCAAGGATTTATATGTTCTTTCTCTGTTAAACAGTAAAAGCAAAATAATGTACTGGAATATAAAGATAAGAGCTAAATGAGCGTGAGCACAAATAAAAGGGGCATTTTCACTGAACAAGTATTTTTCATATCCTGCCTTCATTTAATGTACAATAAAGGAATGGGGATAGGGAAAATGAAAGAACAGAGAAACCTATACTGTAGTAGTCAGGATGTGGTGGAACCAAATTGCAGTTTTCTGAAAAGGTATTTTTGGTCTGTAGGAACAGAATTCTGAAGTAAAGAAACAGGTCCCCTTTTTAGTGTGTGCCGGAACACATCAATTGTACTTTCATGTTCCATTTCCTATTGTATGTGTGGGTCTGTTTCATGAATTGGCTGCTCTTCAAATGGGAATCTGATATGTCACAATAAGCTTTCATTAAGCTGTGTATGCCTCTTAATCTTATACTGCACCACAGAACCATTCTGGCCCACCATCTTCAAATAAATATAATCACTGTTCTCAGTCTTGACTCCATCCTTGGGCTTTTCAATGGCCATGGTAAAGCTCTGGAGTCTCCTCAGCTACCCTTTCACAAAAGAGGTACCAGACCCACAATGAACGAGCAACCAATTGTGCAAGTACCGGGAGCAGCAGCAGGAGTACTTCATTTCTTTTCTGGATGATTAACATTCTACTGTATGGAATACAAACTTTGCTTATTCATCAGTTGATGGACATCTGGCTTGTTTCCGCTCTATGGCTATTATGAATAATGTGTGCACACATTTTTTTTGTGAACATGTTTTTAATTGGTGATCTCTCTCTCTTTCTTTAGGAGTCATGTACTGAGTCATATGGGAACTCTATGTTTAACTTTTAGAGAAACTGACAGTGTTTTTTCAAAGGGGCTACGTTATTTTACTTTTCCACCACAAATGTATGAGGGTTCTAATTACTCCACATCCTTGCCAACACTTGTTGTTATGTGTTCTTTTGACTGTACCCATCTCAGTGGGGGTGCAGTGGTATTTCATTGTGGTTTTGATTTATAATTCACTGATGGTTAAGGATCATCTTTCATGTGTTTATTGTTCATGTGCATATCTCCTTTGGAAAAATGTCTTTTCAGATTCTTTGCCAATTTTAAATGTTCTCTTTTTATTACTGAGTTGTAACGGTTCTTTATATATTCTAGATACAAGTCCCTTATCAGTAATAGGCTTTGCAAAAATTTTCTCCCAGTCTATGGGTCATCTTTCACTTTCTTGATAGTATTCTTCCAAACACAAAGTTTTACATTTTAACTGTGTCCAATTTATCTATTTTTTCTTTTATGGCTTGTGCATTTAGTATCATATCTAGGACACTACTGCCTAATCCCAGGTCATGAAGATTTACATCTATGTTTTCTTCTAAAAGCTACATTTAAACTTGAATCATTTTGAGTTAATTTCTGTATATGCTTTGAGGCAGTAGTCCTCAAGTACCTTTTAATGTTTACTTTTCATCTTAATAAAGTAAAATCTTTAAACAGATTCAGACTGCAAAAGTCTTTCTTAGCTCTTAAAAGATTTAGTAATTTATCACTATTCTTTCTACTTTTTGTAACTGAGAAAAATATTTATCAACTCATTTTTTTTTTCACTTCCTGATAGTTCGGTAATTTTTGAAGTTTTATTTTGTACTTTACTCCTCTTACTCCTACTATAATATTGAGAAAATTAACATTTCTTCTGGACACAACTTTTGTCATTATAAATTAAGTTACTGTGGTGTAACTACAAAGTAATAATCAGATCTTTATAAAGTTAATTTTATCTCTACTTCATATTTTCTATATTTGTTACCTCAAATTCTTACCAGAATATTTTCAATCTTGTTTCATATGTCACACTTATATTTTTAGCTTAATTTTTCTAATTATTTTTCAGTTTGTGGCTGGGAGAAAATTAAAATTTTGAGTAAATTCATTCAGCTTCTACCTTACTTCTTTATTTCTAGGTTTTCCCAGTAACCTACTAAAACAGTTCTTTTTTTTTTTTTTTTAGCTCTGACTTTAATATTGACTCTGCCAACTTCCCAACGACATCCCAATCTCTAAACCACGAACTCTTGAAGGGTTTTAAATTGCTCACCAACATATCATCTATCTTAGCAAAAAAATCACATGAATTTCTCTAATACATTGGAGCCATCATCATTTACTCCAAGACAAGGATTCATTGTGTTTCCATTCCCCACAGTTTCTCCACCCAATCTTAACCTTGGATTTTCACTGATTAGTACTTCAAGCTTGCCTGTCTTAGCTCATGTAGCTCCTCCTTCTGTGCTGGGGTAAAAACTTGTATCACCATTTTAAAGGACGTCATTACTCTTTATATCTGTGAAGAGTAGAAGAAGAAATCACTTGATTCAGAGACTCCCACGATTCTTAAAGGACGAGAGATCATTTCTCATTTCTACAGCACTTATGTCAGAGAGTAAACAGACAAAAAGTAAGATGCAACTATGCTTTCCAATAGTTTGCTTGTGTTTTACAAACGTAATCTTCCAAACAGATATATTTTGTCTAAAGATTCACAATCACATTTATTTATAATTATAGAAAAATTTCTTTGGTTTGATTTCAGTAAAAAATATAGTGGAAATAGTTTTTAAAAAGACTGTATCTTTTGCAACTGTATTTTTCAGTTAACTTCTAAAATGAGATTTCTAACTCCCTACTTAGTTCCTTTTTTGAGAATTACAAAGCCATTATATTCACATTCAAATACTGTGTGTGTTTATGTATGTGTATATGTACTGATGTACGTATATACACATATACTAAGCCATGTTTCTGTTTGAATAATATATGTTTATACATAGTTACAAAAATGTTTTTACTTCATGGACTTTTTTAGAGCTGAATCATTTCTTTTTTATCAAAAAGGATAGCTAACAACTGAGAACAAGGCAAAAAGCATTGCCCTTTAAATATTTAAACTACTCATTCTAAAAATAGTCTATTCAAGAATGATTTCTACTCCACCCAACTGCCTAAACTAAGAAACAAGACTAACAATTTAGAGATGTTATTAATACTTTAATTTCTATCTAGAAATCATAACTTTAGTGTAATCTTGTTATTGTATAGGAAATGATTATTATGTAAACTTGGTTTTGATTTATTAATTTAGGATTTTTAGGTTTGATCTATGAGTTTTTGATACTATTTTTATTTTCAAAGTCTTAGTATCCTCAATATTTAGTATCTTTCACAATTAAATTATTTGCTTATAATGATAAACAAAAGGAACAAATGTTTCATTTCTTAAGATTCATTTCAAATATGTAAGAGTTATTATCACCCCAATGTCCATCTTTAGAAATATCCCAAGCATATCATATTGCTTTAAAAGAATTAGATGAGTATATATGAGATTTACTTTATGCAAATAGTTCTTTTAGTTAAAACTCTTTATATCCTGGTCAAAATTTTAATTATAATAGTATTTATCTTCCAAACGAAAAATTTACTATTTTATTACCTAAAAACATAAAGATACCTAAGTAAAGATATTGTAATTTGTACCAGCTAGTCGGTTAAAAGAAGATCATAATAAATGCCCATATTTTCTCAAGAACTGCATTGGACATGGAAATTAAGATTCCAGATTGGATTTCTTTATATATGTTCCTAACTTTCACTATTAAAACTGGTTTATAGTTGTCATCCTTTTCTTCTCTTTCAGAAATATGGTTAATGAGGTTGAAAAAAGTATGGCAATTTAAAAGTGTCTAATGCACTGCTGTCCAATAAAACTTTCTATGATGAAGCGATGTTCTATATCTATGCTGTCTAATTCGGTAGCCATTAGCCACACATAGCTACTGAACACCTAAAATGTGACACAGCAACTGAAGAAGTGAATTAGTAATTTTATTTAATCATAATTAATTTTAATTTACATAGTGGCATGTGATTAGTGGCTATTGTACTGAACAGTACATGTCTAGGGTATTAAAATTCTTGAATATTTTCATTTACGAACATTTTTGAAATGGAGAAAAGTGATTTATATTTAAAACTATAAACATAAATTAGTAGACCAGAGAGTAATAGGAATAATTTTTATACTAATGATAAAAATGAGCCCTTTTTTACCACCATCAAAAGTTAATGAAGCCCTGTTTTTCACATGGCACAGTATGTTATCTCTTAAATGTACACAACTCAAAACGAAAACATCAGTACAGACTGCCCTAAAAAGACAATCAAGCAATCATTAATTATACATATATGTGAATTAAAGAAATGAATGATCTATTTGTATTCTTTATAAGCAAAGAAATAAATGTTGTAGTGCAGAAAGAGAAAGAATTCTATAGGAATTTCATAGTTAGATTTTTCTTTAATCAGTCAGGGAAAAGTCTGTGGAGAGAATCAAACTTCAAGTGCTGAAAAAGTGAGAATGACAAATAATTTGAAGAGATATTCCAGGCATAATGTGAAGCCTGAAAAGATAAACCAAGGAAGATGTAGGTTTAGTTGACAAATTGCATTTCCTGAGAAGATGGTGGATTTATCTGAGTATTACTAAAAAGAGGAAAAAATGAGGATTCTAGAAATGAAAGAGTCTTATTTCTAAGTCTTTAAGTGACTCTTATAAGTATATATTTGAAAATTAAAAGGACTTTTAAACCTGGTTGTTTTGAAGTCTCTCAGAGCTGTAGAGATGTATTCAGATAAATGTTTTTCCATGAGTGCTACTCTGATCCAGGCTCTACCCTAAAAGGAAGAAGAATGAAATATGAAAAAAAATTAGAAGTTAAAAATTCTTTTGCCCATTGCACCACTGAAAAGTAAGCATTTTAGCATATAAAGAACAACTCATTCAGAAGATACATTTGTTAAAGACTAAAAAAATTGTGAGCAGATAAGAATAGGTAAATTTTGATTATATATAGTATCTATTTTGTTTCTCTGAAGGTATAAGGTTAAGCATGTCGGATTAACTTTCTGAAGAAACAGAACCACTAATATTGAATTATTTGGGTTAGGAATATCTTTTGAATCATATGTCATCAGAAGACATAATGCTTTACTTCCATGCCCAAATCAACATGCTAAATAAAATTAGTCCCCCTATAATACATTAATAAAAATAATACGTTAATAAAAATAATCACTCCCACACCACTTGTTTAAGAAAATTTCTCACTTATTTCTCTAAAGGGAGGTTTTAGACAACTAATAATGAACAATATTTCATTATCTAGCATGCATCCAAATCATGAGATACTAAATTTGGTGCCCCAAGAGCATTCTAAAAAACAATTACCAAATATTTAAACCAGAAGAAACAAACACACAACAAAAGTATTCTAGAAGCATAACCTACCACAAAATCACAGAAACAGACAATTCTAACTGAATAGAATAATTTAATTTTATTTAGAAAAGCAGTAACATCATTCGATAGTTGCAACTAACCAAATAATTTTTATAATTCAAAGCATTTCTTCTGGACTCTGTTTAGAATAAAAGAGTATAAGAGATTATATTTGTAGTGAGAATTTAAAAATTCAACTACTTTCTTTTTACTCTCAATCCTTTCACAAATCTCCACGAAGTCCATGAAGATTGACTCTATAGAAAATCAAAACACTGTAGTGGCAGCTGAAATAAAGGTGACACTAATCAATATATATGACAGTCAACTACCAGTATGGAGGAGGAAAAAAAGCATTCTTTAGAAATGACTACAACTCAAATGAATTCACAAAACTCGTGGATTGGAAGGATCGAAAAAGAGTTAATCCAGACAGTGGTAAAATCTGTCAGGTTACAAGCAGTAATATTGTTGGGAAAGGAATGATATGGGTGTAGTTAACATACCAGTCAATGTGCCCACCAAGCTTGCCCAGGACTCACTCCATTGTTCTTGCTGAGTAAGCCCAGGGGAACCTGCAATTAGCTGTGGCTGATTAGAAAAGAAGGAAGAGGCAAGCCACTGGCCATCAGTCTCAAGATTCTCTCTTGAAATTTCATCTAAAAGACAAACTAGTAGTGGTGGCCTGAATCAAAAGTCCAGGATTTCACCAAAACAGAAGCACAAAAAGTTGCTCTCCAGAGAAAGCTATAGGATACTATGCTATTGCTATATAGAAACATGGGGAAAGTCCTGCTTCTTGATTATCCATACAAAACTGGGCTGCACCTACTTTGCTGTTCTTGGAAGTTTGCGGAGTTCTGTTAGATTATAAAATAAATGGTGATGATTTTAACGATTTCTTTTCTAAATCCAACAAAAGAACTAACTAGTACAGGATACACACAGACTTATAAAGGTTGGGGACATGAGTGAGAAAGCTGGAAATTAGGTTTAACATTTTAGACTTTATCAATAAGATAAAGATAATGATTTTTTTTCAAAGACAAAAATATTCATTTGTTTGCCACTGAAGGTTTTTGGGGAAAAAAAAATAGTCAACACTTCTTAATGTAATTAATATATGCTTGGCTCTGTTTTAAGAGCTTTATATACACATTAAGATATTTAACTCTCCCAAGCACTGTGTTAGGTTACAACAGTATCGATACTTTACTATATGAGGCAACAAAAAACAGACACAACTAGAAGACAGGAAACTCATCTACAACCACCAAACCAATTAACCTAATTGATTTAATACCCATACACTCTACTTTCCCTTCTATTTCAGCGATGAACTATAATCACTGAAGAGAGTAAAATGGCAAATCACAGAGTGGCAAAGATATTTGCATTATATGTATTCGACAAAAGACTCTCATTTATATAATACAAAGAATTTTTATGAATCCACAAGAAAAAGACAACTGAATTTAAAAATGGACCTGGAAGTGGAAGATTTTTAACTACAGATTCGATTTCTTCAGCAGATATCAGAATATTTAGCTATTTCCTTCCTTTTTGTTAGTTTTGTGATATTTTTCAAAGAATTTGCCCATTTTGTCTAAATTTTCAAATTTATAGGTGTGAAGTTATTCATAATACTTCCTTTGGGATTTTTAATGTTTGTAGATCTATGGAATTGGCCTCTTCCTTCCCGATACTTGTAATTTATAATCTCTTTTTTAAAATTCTTAAATAGTCTTGGCTAGAAGCTTATCAATTGTATTAATCTTCAAAAAAACATCAATTTTTAGTTTTGATTTTCTTCTAGTGTACATTTGTTTGAATTAAATTGAATTTTTTCTCTTCATTACTTCTTTCCTTCTACTTTGGGTTTATTACTTTTTAAAAAAAATACAGCTTCTCAAGATGAAAGCTTTGATCACTGATTCTCAGCCTTTAAAAAAAATACATAAACACCTATTTGAGCCTATTTTCCACTAAGCACAAGTATATTTTTATTATCATTACTCTTCAAATATCTTTCAATTTCAATAATTTCCTCTTTCATCCATGAGTTATTTAAGTCCTTCTCAATTCTGACTTACACAAGCATTTTCTAGTTATATTTTTGTTATTAATTCTAGGTTAATTCTAAATTGTTTAGAAAAGTTCATATGATTTTAATCCTCTGAAATTTGAGATGAATTATAACTCAGCAAATGATAAATTTTTATATAAGTTCTACATGTATTTGAAAAAAAGAATATTCTGTAGTTTTCTAACTTGATTTTCTTACATATTCCAGTTTTCTATTAATATTAATTTTTATTTGTATTTTCTTGAACTCATTATAATTACTTAAAAGTCTATTATCTGCATCTCCCATAGGTATGTTTCCATTGTCTTTTTATTTCTTAGTTTTATCATTGGATGTTATTTCCTGATATGCCTGGTGATTTTTGACTGTATACTTGACACTATGAAAATCTGTAACAGCTCTAATGCTATCTTTCTCTGGGGTTGATTTGTTTTTCTTCTAGTAGGCAGACAGTAAACTTGAAACTCACCTTGCACCATTTTAGGGTACCACTTTTAAACCTTTTTTGAGCTGGTCTTCATATGAATTTCCCTTACTCCCAAGGAACAGTCTTTCTGGGGTCTCAAATAAAAGCCTGGACAGAGACCCTTGAACTTGATTGACCTTGAACTCTAACCTCTGATCTCTCTAGAACAAGACTGTGAAATCTCTCATCAGCTTTTCAGCCTTCTACTTGTTGCTTTCAGCTTTAGATTTATGAGATTTTTGCCATGTGCTTCAGAATACTAAGTTGGCAAACACTTCACAGGAAAACTACATGTATAACTTCAGGCACATTTGTCTGCAGTTCTCTCCTCTTGATTAAATCCTGGTTTCGCCAGCAATTCCAAGTTCCAACTTCTGTTTTGCTAGCCCTAGAAAACTAATCCAACCATCTGCCACCTGCAATATACTATGTTCTGCCTCTATACCCATGAAATGAACATTATGCTGAAAGCCAAGTTGAATGTAGGGCTCACCTCATATACCATCCTTCTCTCCAGGATTGTGGCCACTTAAGTTCTCATGCCTTGGTTGTTCTCTTATGTTTTAAATTGGTTTCTTTGTGCATTTTATCCAACTTTTATTGTTCTTCTTGGCAGAAGAGTTCCCCTGATACAAGTTACTGTTATTACTGGAAGCAGAAACTGATTCATTTCTTACCTCTAGGATAACTTATTTTTTAGGTTCCAATAATACCCTTCTAACTTGACTCTCTGCTCTCAACCCTCCTATTTATGAATTCTCTATACTGAACCCAGTTGAACATTTTAAAATGTAAATCAGATTACAAAACTCTATTGTTTAAAAAAAATAAAAAGTAAAAAAGAAACCCTCAGGTAGCTCCCTACTGCATTGAGAATGACATCCAAACTCTTGATCATGACCATATCTTCTATTCTACACCTTGATTCCTTTTAATATTGTCTTAATATGTTCATAGCACATTTCTTTTAATAATTCACACCCTGAGAATACCTCTGTTTTCTGCCTAGGAACTTTATTTTTAAAGCTCCCCAAGTATTTCTGACATTCTTCCAGGTTTGGGACCATCACAATAAATGAAGGATAGGACATGTCAAGTGGCGTTTAAAAAAGGAGACAGATTTATGAATAGAAAATTCTCATAAAAATGGCCTCTTTGCATTACTATATCTTATTGTAAGGGATAACTCTGGTGTATCTGTGATTAATAACTCCTTGCCTCTGCTTCTTTCAGTAGAAAATTTGGTTAACCTGCCTTTGAGGCATACCAATGATAAGACCAGTTTCTCAACAACGGAAAAAGCAAACAAGAAGATGAGACCGAAAAAAAGACTAGGAAGGATTAGAGACGTGTGTCATAAGAATGTATTAAGGATTACATTTACAGTTCTGACATGATATAGGTTCTCAATAAAAATTTATCAGATGGAAGGACACATGGATATATTGACGTCTGACATGACCAATATACTGAGATACTGGTCTACTATATTAAATTCAATAACAGAAGGAATGTATAGGGTGAGTAACCACAAACTAGTGAAGACTAACTTAGCCAAAAACAATCAACTGTTCTTAAACATACACACACATACACACACACACATACACACACACACACACACACACATAGGAAAGTAGGAAGAACTGAAAAGTATGCCAAAAAAATTTAAAAAAAAAAAAACAAAAAACTAAAGGGTAAAAGGATTTCTTGAGTTTGAAATCAGTTGAAATACTAAGAAAATCCAATAGAAATATCTGCAAGATCAAAAACAACAGTAACTAAGTATCTAATTTGGGGAGTTTCTGTCAGAGATTACATATTATGCTTTTAAGTCATCAGGCTAATAACAGGGAAGATGGGTGAGGATAGGTGAGTTCAGAAGGGAGTGAAATAAGTGCCTGTTGAAATGAAGGTATTTTTCTAAAAGTGCTAATTCTAGTCTGAAACCTAAATAGATTAATGTATAGAAATCCTATGTCCCAGAATCTCTGCATATTATAGAAAAATAGCTGTAAATATACCTAAGATGGATAGATAGACTATAGACATGATTTTCAATTCAAATTTGCTATTCCATTGTTAGGCTATGTTTAGGCACTGGAAAATAGGTTGACCTAGTCACAGACTAAACAGAGAAAGAGAATAGTCTACATTTCATAGCTCTTAGCTTAGTGACTAAGTATCAGATCTGCCATGGTGGCAAGTTTCTACATTGTGAATTTAAGTTGTACAGTGGTACCAGGACATAGACAACCTGATTCAATCAATTCAAGTAAATTTAAAGAAGGTTTCTATACTGAATTAGTCATTGCTCCACAGTGCATCTTGTCTTCCATTGCTTAAAATGACATTCACATAACCATAAATGTGTAATCAGAGTGAATCTGGCTTCTTATATAAAATTTAAAAATTAAGCTCTAACTATTTTGGTCCCAAGTATATTGAATTGCACATTGTTCAGCAAGTAGGTTTGATACTTTAATTCTAGTATGTTTTCTCAAGTGTCAAGTCTGGATGAGAGTATTATACATCAAGGGTCCCCCAACGCCCGGGACATGGACTAGTACATGGCCTGTTAGGAACTGGGCCACACAGCAGGAGGTGAGCGGCAGGCAAGCAAGTGAAGCTTCATCTGTATTTGCAGCTGCTCCCAGCGCTAGCATCACCCTCTCAGCTCCACTTCAGATCATTAGGTATTAGATTCTCATAGGAGCACTGGTCCCTGGTGCCAAAAAGTTTGGGGACCACTGCTATATATGCTAGTAGTCACTCCAGACAAAGGCCCAATAAACCTGCCATCTGAGGTACTTGTTTAATCTTTCAATCCTGATACTTGGCAGCTGTGATTTACTGAGTAGATTAAGTACTTTACTTGTCCCACTGCAATGAATAGACTGAGGCAATCTCTGCCTGCCGATTTTCCCCAGAGTAACCAGGTAAATCATAGATCTCTCTTTTCCCACTAAATATAATATATTTGAGGCTTGATCAAAAACAAAGACAAAAATGCAGGATTTGGAACATGATTGTTCTGTGGTATTTTGATACTCAACACCAGTTTTTTACAGAATAAATATTAACTCTGCTGGCATCTTGCTGTGCAAGGCCTAATCCTAAGAGTCTCATTAAAAGAGGTGGTGAGCTAGGGTTTGGGTTTCTTTGGTACACTCAGGTCCAAATGCTACATTTCTAATATTTGTTAACTTCTCAATTACCTTTTGTATTTTGGAGTGTGTTAGTGCTATAAATATATTTTCTCCCATATTGATAGAGTTTAGAATACACTTGTCATGTTAATCTCTCCTGCTTTTAATTTGAAAATAAAAAAATAAAGTTTATGTACCACCTGGGTACTTTCTGTTATTATAGACTTGATTAATTCAAATTACAGCTAGTTTTTTAATCTTAACCTACAGAAACCAAAATATTATTCTTAAACCACAAGGAAAACATGAGAGAACTGATACAAACTCAATTAAGATGCAAAGGAGAATTCAAACTCTACATTTTAAAAATCTGTAGTCAATCAGACAATTAGAAAGTAAATAAATGAATAAATTCAATAATTTGAGAAAATGGAGCCCACAGGACTACGAAGACAATAGTTGTGACTAAAAAGAAATCTGTTAATATACAATAAAAAGCAAGATGAAACATCTATGAGAAAAGTTTTTAATTAAAAAATAGGTATAACTGATTTAAAAATGAAGACATTATTGGCTTAAAAAATATATGAGGCAGAGAAGAAAACTGATTCAATCAGTTAGAAGATACTGAAGCATAAAGTTAACTGTTGCTCAGACAGCCCTTTGGTTGAAGACGCAGGAGGCAGTGAAGGAGAAAGCTGTGGTTTTAGAAAGATGACAAAAATCACAGCTATCAACTCTATCCAAAAATGCAATTCCATATTATGGATTTTAAGCTGTTTATGTTTCTAATTATGTCACTATATTTAAATATTATAAATCTTGTTTTTAAAAACTTATTCAGTTCATGTTTTACAAAATGTTTTAATTTCAATATATATTAGTCAATTTTGTGAACCAAAATTTTCCAAAAGAAAAAATGAATTCCTAAATAGAAATGGATACAGGAATAATAAACTGAGAAACTATACTTTTGAAAGATGATTGTTATACTTTGCTTATTATTTATAACTTTATAATTGTGAAATAATGGATTATGTCTTAATTTTAAAACTATACAAATCTATTTTCAATCTTTATTTTCTACTTAGTTTAATGAAGTGTCCAAAATAGTAAGAAAAGCTTCTATGACAATCCAATTAAAAAAACCTCCTAAAGCTGACATAGCATGTATCAGTAGCTAAGACACTTTACAATCTTAAAAATTATTGAGGACTCCAAAGAGCCTTTATGTAAGTTATAGCTATCATTATTTACTGTATGTTAAGTCAAAACTGGAAACTTTTAAAATATTAAGTAATTAAAAAAATAAACCCATTATGTTAACATAACATTTTTATGAAAAAAATATCTTTTCCTAAAGAAAAATATTAGTGAGAAAAATGGATGCTTTACATTTTTCCCTTAATGTGTGGCTTAATAAAAGAGAACCAGATATCTGCTTCTGCATTCAATCTGTTACAGTGTGTTGTTTTCATAGAAGCATATGAAGAAAATCTAGCCTCACATAGATACATAGTTGGAAAAAAAGAATCTTTTAATAGCTTTTTCAGATAACTGTGGATATTCTCCTTTGATTTTACATCAAAACTCAATAAGTGATAATTTTTTAAAGGTTAGTTGCAACATGGAATCTATAACCATATCAATGAACTTTTCATATTCTATTACATTAAATCCATTGGGCTATATTGCACTTTTTTTTTTTAAAGCCTACAGCACCTGGTATTTCTAGGTGGTCACCCATCCAAGTACTAACCAGGCCTGGCCTGACCCTGCTTAGCTTCTGCGATCAGATGAGATCAGGCATGTTCAGTGTGGCATGGCTGTAGACAATTTTTTTTTTTAATGCCTACAGCACCTGGTCTTCCTAGGTGGTCTCCCATTCAAATATTAATCAGGCCCAACCCTGCTTAGCTTCCAAGATCGGACAAGATTGAGCACATTGAGGGTGGTATGGCCATAGATTATCTTGCACTTTGAATGGATCTTTTTCCCATTCATGATTTTATAATTCCATGCATTGGTCATTTGGAAAATATAAGTTATGCAGGTCTACCAAATGCTGACATATTTCATTAAAGGATTAACAAATATATTAGGTAAAATGAATATCAATGCTATCAGAAAAAGTATTTAAGTACTGGGGAGTTTTCAAGCTTAAGATGATGAATACAAGTTTTCAAAAATTATAATTTTTACAAGAAAGCTTTAATTATACTATTAACAACAAATACTGTCAGCTATTTTCCTTGAATAGGTTCAGCTTGTTCATTTATATTCAAGAAATGTCCACCAAATGTATAAGTCTAAAAAAACTATAGTTTATACATTTTTTCAAATAAAAATAGTATTATGTGACAAAAGTGACTAGTCCAGCTCATAGTTCAAACAATTGCATGAATACTTTTCCCTGAGACAACTATCATATTTCAATATGCTGCAGAAATGGTTTATGCATACTTCTCATTCTGTCACTCAGGACATGAAAAAGACAATACCTGATTTAATTTTGTTAAGTCTCAAAGGTTGAGATTTAATAAAATTAATAATGTTTACTGCACCATCATGGACATTCTTAACTGAAAGTAGCTACTAGTATAGTTTGACTCCATTGCCTTAATTTGTGCTAAGGCGCCACAACTTTACCCACCACCATTGCTTCTCCATTAGTAGTGCAAATGTCAACAGAGTGCAAAAGGCAAATAACATTACATGAAAATAGTTCTGACATTATGGACCCCAAGGTTCTCCAGGATACTGAGAGCCACTGGTTTAGGTAATTCAAAAAATGCAGAAAAATCATAGAATAGGAAATATTTCATGTGCCACACAAAAAGAAACAGTGACTAGTTTTGTACCTGCCCATTATTCATAAGTCAAAATATTCAAAAGCATTCTAAAATAACTGCATGCAATAAAAGAAAAGGAAACAAGCCTCTGAAAGATATTAAAATTGGTCAAATGCTTAATTCCAACAAAGAAAAAAATATTTTCTATAGCAAAGAGCTATAGTTTGGGTCAAACTGCTTAGGATTACACACATTGCACATTATTATTTACATCTTACCTTAGCTCTAGAGGAACTGACATTTTCCATATTTTCAATGCTGCAGATACAATTCTGTGAAACTTTCCGGCAAGCCACTCTGATATAGTCCCAGAAGCTACGAGGACTTTCATAACCAAACCAGGTTACTTGACCTTCGGGAGACAAATTTTAATACAAAATAAAAGAAAACCAGACTAGAAAATTCAAAATGCAAAAAACAATAAAACTCTAAAAAATAAAAGGCAGTGTGGTGTGCTACAGTGGAAAGGGCACTGATCTCAATGTTAAAAAGCCTAAATCTAGGCCTGTTCTACCTGTACCTAGCTGTATTACTTCGGACAATTTATTTAATAAATCTGAATTACAGTTGTTTCAACAATAAAATCAAACTAAATGAAGTAAAAAGGGTGTCGACACTAAAAAAAATCTCTTGCAGTTTAACATCCTATTCTAACATAGTCTTTTAGCTATCACACAAATAATTTTCCTTGTGGTTCTAATTAAGCATCAATTTAAATGTCTCCAGTTGTATTCTAAACAGTTCTTTATTCAGAAAAACGGAAAAAAAACATGACTCCTTTTCTCTTCTTTATAGGGATACTTCAAAAAAATGAAACAATGAGTAGTCTATCCTATAACTAAATATAATCAATTAGAATCCACAATCTTCTACCCAACCATTTTCATCTATAAAACCATAAAGCTCCTCTGTAACTATCATTCATCTGCTTTTTTCTAGTCACCAACCCATCTAATTTTTACCATTCTAATTTTTCAAATTTGAGTAATTATGTGTTTGCTCATGAACAAGTACCTTTTGTGTGGATCTTATATTAGCATTAATATTTCTATGTGGAACGATTAGTAGATCTTTAGGAACTATTTTGTACTCTTAGTACTTTTATATGGGATATGAGAGACATCTTAATACTTTCTTCAACTGCCTGGAATGATGACTCTGACCTAGGGAAGTTGTTTAATCTTAATGTAGAAAGATTAGCCTTTATAGTTTTAAATCTGTGCTTGTTTTTAATTTATTATTTACTTATCCCAAACCTTCCTTTCCCCAGTAATAGTTCCTCTCTAAGCAACATCAGAAAGTGTTCTTGTCAGCAAGCATCATTTTAGAAGCAGTTCCTGAAATGATATTTGAGTGGTTTCCAACCACAGCAGCCCATAAGAATAACTGGTTTAAAAAAATATTCATGGTTGGGCTCCACCAAAACTAAATAATCAGAATCTTTAGGGAAGGGCTCAGGCATTGGTATTTTTAAAAAGATACCCCTGGTGTTTCTAATAACATACTTATGGTGTATCAAGATAAAGCCTATATATGGTAATAGGTAACTCCGATCATCATTCAGGACATTAAATGCCTCCTCTTCTTGTAAGCCATATGTGATATCTAAGTGAGCCAGTCCTTTCCTATGTCCTGGCAGAGGATCCTACACTTACTTATCCTTATAATTACCTGTTTGCTTGATTGTCTCACATATTAGGGGGTAAAATCACTAAGGCAGGGATCGTGTCTTATTTGTCTTTAAATCAACCTCTAGCACTTGACACATGCTTGGCTCACAACAGGTATTCAATAAATATTTGTTAAATTAATTGGTAAATCAACCCAAAACAGATCATCTTAATTGCAATACATATAAAAATTTGAATTAAAAAAATCTAATTAGTATATTTTTATAGTAGCAGTTTAATGACAATCTGATATCAAGATGTCATCATGCTAGATTACAAATATCAAATAGTCTGAAAATATTTACTCTTGAATATATATCAATAAAAATACAAAGGAATTTATAAATCCTTACTCAAATGTCTCTTTAAAAATCAAATATTACTATCAACAAATAGAAATCTATAGGAATATTTATAATCTTCCTTCTTCCTCTCAATCTCTCCCCATCACTTTCCTTTGCCCTCTCTCTTCTTTAGTTAAAAAGGTCCTGGAACAGTATCTCAATATAGTTTGTCTTTAGGGCGATTTTCATGACATCAATTTGTTAGTCATTTGGAGAGGAGACAGGATGCCTAGTGGTTAAGAATGTGGACTTTTGAGTCAGGTAGACTTTGTTAGATCACTTTCTAGCTATGCAATCTTGAGCAAATGACTTCACTCTATTAAGTCTGATTTTCTTCTATAAATTGACAATAACTATAGTACCTACATAACACTTGCAGATTAGATGAGTATGTGCAGCAATCAGTACAAATGTTAACAATTATTACTATTGTTATTGCTACTATCATACAAACAGTTAAGGAACCAAAGCTCCCCTTATAATACAAAGTGGGAATGAGATACAAAGTTAAGTTTTTCCCATTACTTGCTTAGAATCTAGAAAAATCTTTAAAATCCAATCTTTTCCCATATCAACCATTCTAAATTTGCCTCCATAAAATTAGTCTCAAGTAATGTTCTTTGGCTTCTATTAATTGAGATAATTCCATAATTTTAAAAAGGTATAGCTGCTAGACTTCCCTCAAGAAACGAAGTATATAATACACTGGCAGGGGTCTTAAAGAAGGGAGAATCACAAGGATTCTCTGGTGACTTCATCTTAAACCTCCTGAGTTTGATATGGCTGAGGAAAATTTATGAGAAATTTTAAAGTAGAGCTATCGAAAATGAAAGAATATAACAAAGTCCAATTTTGGAGTAGAGGAAACAAAGATATAGAAAAACTAAAAATCTAGAATTAGATTAAACACAGAAGATCTGAACACTAAACCCTTAGGCTAGGGGTAGGATATGCTTTCTGTAAGACTTTTACCCAAGAGATAATGACAAGATTCTCCAGATTACAAAATGATAAACGAAACAATTAAGAGAATGCCATATAATTATGACTTGCAGGGCCTTAAATAAACCATTAGTATCTTTGTAACACTTCTATCTCTACTCAACAAACTAGATGTGAGGATGACTTGGCTTGATTCTGCCTTTATTCCTCTTCACGTGCATCATTTCCAAAGTGAAGTTCTTAAAATCAAGACACTGAAATTTTCACATTCAGAAGGATCTGCTTTAAGAGAGGGCGGGTTCCCTTATTAGAACCTCTAAAGAAACTCACATGTGAATTGTCTGTACACCCTAAACTTTTATTGAAATGAATAATTTCTGCATCTATGAAAAGCGTTGAATTTAATTAAAAATAATACAAGTGTTCGATTAGTTATTTGAGATATTATTACTTGAACATCACTTTTACTCAAACACGGATTAACTGCTAGCAAAAGACATATGAGCTATTAGTCTGTAACCAGTATTCAATGGGAAAATTAGAAAAAAAAAAAAAGCTACAAGTTGATCATGCCTTTAAAAATAACTACTGAAGTCAAAATCACTCCCAAATTCTCATTTCCGTTAAAAATAACCACAAAAGCAAATCAGATTACAAGAAACTGACTAGTGTGTATCTTGAAGAAATTTTACTCCAGAGAGGAAATATGCTGTCATTAACAATTCTCTTTTTAAAGCTCTTGATGAATATGATATGTATAACACATTTTCGATTATGTGCATTCTTAGAAGTTGACTTTTTACCAATTACGAAGTTAAACAAGCTTTTCAAAATGTATTCCCACTCCATCAAGCCAACTCTAATTCACATTAGGTGCAGAAATAAGTGGTGAAAAGTTTGCTATACTCTTAAGGCAGTCTGCTAAGTAGCTGTGTGATGTCTTTCCCACTAAGCTGCCTCATCTTTAGCACCTAAAAATAGCATGTGATCTCCAGGATCCAATGGTATTCTAAAATTACCCATCTACATTATTTAAGTTAGACATCTATTCACTGCATGAAATGTGTTTATGTTTTGCTTATATCTTATTTTATGGCCAGAATGAAACTTAAGAATGAGAACTAAAATTTCTAAAGTGGTTCTCTACTAAGCAGTGGCTAATGACACATCATCTTTTGATAACATAAAATATAAATGAGTCTGTTAAGTGCTTCCCTTTCTCCACCCTTTGTATTAGTGCTGAGTCATAAAAAGAACTAAGGAAACACTGGTCTCACAAGCTGAAGTTCTATTAGCATTACAATACATCACCTAGATGACAATATCAAAGACTATTGCCTTGGAGCTGCTATTCATCGAGACAAGTAATATATATAGTCACATTGAGTTTTTAATCATTCTGATATCACTGCAAATATTTTCATGTACTTAAAGGAAATTGATTACTTGTGGATTTATTGTTGCCAGTATATTAACATTTAGATATTTAACTTTTACTATACATTTTGTAGCAGCAATCCTACATGTCTTACTGTTAATTTATAAAACCAGTTTAATATTTTCCAATATCTTTTTACTAAACATAGAAAACTCCCATTTCTGTAAGAGGCTAGAATCTCTTTATTTCTTTAAAAAGTAATATTTTTAGTTGAGGTTTATGTTTATTAGATCACTCTGCTTTGGAGATAAAATTATGACCTTGATTAATTTTCTAAATAAAATCTCATATTAATGATTAAAAAAACAAATTTAATTACTTTAAAAATAACTTTAGTTACATTTAAGCTGAATCTTAAGAAGTCCGAGTCTAGATTAGCTAACTTTACTTATATTGTGAGCTTTGCATGTTACTCATAGCATGCTTCAAGGAAATCATTTAGCAACTATGAATCACTAATATATAAAATGTAGTTATTATCTTTTATTACTTACAATTAATGTCTTGTTCACTAGTAAGGAATTTATTACAAATAGCTAAAGTATGTATCTATACCATAAAAATGAGTTAATTATTAATCTTCTAAAACAAAAAAGCTAAGATAAACAGGTTTACCCAAAAACCTGAAAACTGAATTTGACTTAATAGGCTTATTTACCTCAGTAATTTTACCACCTTTCCAAGTAGAGTACAAGTTTTGTTTTTTTCCTACACCAGTGTTTTTAATATAAGGTTTAGAATATTGGCAGATTAAATTAGAGTACCAAAGGCTGAAGTCCATACAGAGAACCACATATAAATGTGTGGACCTGAAGAAATTGAGCGTAATTTGTTTCAGTAATGATTAAGGCTCTACGTAGGGAACATAAAACAAAAGGAATTGTTTAAAATGACTGCTTGTGGGAATTATGATTGAGGAAATGAGAAAACATTTATTTCTACTTTCTATCTTTTGTCT